TAATTATTCTCGTATCTGCCTCATCAAAGAGACTTTAACAGTCTTTGTTTGAGCTATATTTATAAAAAAGAGCATAGCGTTTAATTCACAGTTGAGGCACCCATATTTTTTTAGACGGCTGCTGAATCTGATTTAAATGTTTATCCGGCATTTGTAAAAACAACATACAACAATGACCCCAGCATGAGCATGAAGACCGCGATACGATATAGCTCGTTTTGATCACCCTCGATTGTCACATTACTATGGAGTTTAACAGTAAGATTCGATAAAAAACTTGATATAGTAGATATTGTGGGGCTCATGCTACGGGGACTAACTGAAGTATAAATCGGTCAAGCGCGAATCGAACTCGCATACGCAGTGATATCCATACTGAAACACAACGAAAAGAGACATGTTTCTAGTATGGGATCTATTTCTGATGTGTAACATCTTTTCTCTCGCTTTTGTGCAATTTGTGGGAGTGATTTCGTGAAATGGGACGGAAGTGTGTGTGTAACAGGAAGTCGCGAAAGTGCGCGCTATTTGATTTGATTTTAGAACATAATGTTCAAATGGCTTATTCCTTTTGTAGTAGGTTTTATTTCTTTTTTTACTAATATAAGGTGAGGTTTCAAATGTTACTCATCATACGTGACTACTATAAGGCTCGCTCGTTTTTTTTATTTAGTAATAGCTTCCACTTGTGACTTCATCCCCGTTAACTTTAGTTTCGCCCAACTCTCTTATTTTCCTCCGTAAGAACCTTCTACTTAGATAGTATTAGAAAAGAAAAAAAACATGGATGAAATCAGTGACGCCACTCTCAAGTTCTGACGTAATTCTGTGTTATAGCGGCCGTAAGAATACCTATTAGAGGTAGGGCATAGCGAATTTTCTGTTCGCATTGGAGCGTCCATCTGGGGAAAGCAATCTTCAACTTACAGATCACAGTGAAATAAAGAGTACATTTTGATGGTGTTGTGTTTCTGTCGGTAAGTTAGGGTTCAGGCCTGCAGGGGCTAGGGGATTGGGTCAGGGTTGGGCGCAGCTTGGCAGCCGCGTGCCCTTGGTGCCATTCAGCATAGGCCACCCCGTCTGGGGATTGCCTAGTACCATTGGACCGGGCCGGCCTGGGGGCGTTCCAGTGAAGTGGCGCACACAGAGGTGCGCTGATCCTGAAACGCTCCCACATGATCGTAGGAGGGTACCGGTGGGTTTTAGTGGGTAGGACCGGCGTTTTTCCGCGACGGGGAAACCCACACACGCCACGCGCCCAGCCAGCGCACGGTACGGTCCGTAAATGGATTTCCCATCGGCAAAAAAAAGGGGGATTGGGTTAGGATAGGCTATGGTGGTCACTTACCATCAGGCGGGCTTGTTTGCCACTCTTATATCATAAAATACCCCAAAAATTGTTACTCTTCAACTTATACAGTTCAGTAGATTCCACTCGCTAATAGCAATAGGGTTCCACGGTTACTCTTTGGTTATGAAACCTTAAACCTTAACCCCCTTTATTAATAAACGAAGAATAAGCTTAGATTAGTTACTCCATGTTTTGTCTCTGTTCATTGAATGACAAATGGCATTTGAGTGATATGACCAAAACATGGCGTAACTAGTCTAAGCTTATTCCTTTTTTATTAATAAGGGGGTAACAGTTTATTTTAAAAGCTCACTCTTTGACAATTTATTTTTATTCACCGCGTGAAATTTCTTCGACTGAGCGATATGCCTAGTGACATCAAGCAATCGGTATGCTTAGCACTTGGAAATTCCTTACTTCAAAATGTATTGTATTGTAATTTTGTGACAAATGAATGATATTAGTTATTATCTACCAACTTACAGAGTGTTTTGATTTTAAACAGGCATTTTTAATCTGTACCTATACCCCTTCTTTATGTCATCACAAAATAGTTAAATAATATTTTACAAAAATATCAATGTTCTGGATTTATTTCACTTACATTTTTCCGAATACTTGGGAAAATCATCCAATATGTAAATATAATACTTATTTACACCAGTGGTACATTATACACTTCACATTATTGTCCATAGATTAAACATAGCGTACACGTTAACTTAAATACTTTTTATAAATAAAGGATAATCGAACAGAAAATGAGGCATGGAAAATGAAGCGAGAAAATGTGCGGAAATCACGTTTTCGTAAAATTTATAGTTATAATAATAAATATTTCCAACACTCACACCAATTAGCCTAGCCCCAAAGAAAGCACTATAAGGATTGTGTTATGGGATGCTAGGGTAACGGATAGAATACATATAATGTACATATATAAGTATATGTATATAGAAATAGATATTAAACATCCATGACTGGAGTACAAATGCTCGTATTCATCACACAAACATCTGGGGGCAGATGTTGCCTAGGGGATTTGAATCCGGGACCTCTCGAGTCGGCGACACCATGAAACCCGGCGTACAAACCACTCGGCCACGGAGGTCGTCAAAATCATCCAGTCAGCACGCTGCAGTCGTTCTTTTCTTCGTTTACTCTTTTGTTATATAAATTGACTGCCTAAACTTTTTGTTAGTGAAAGTGCTACAATAATTTAAACATATTACTTATTTGCACGTTTCACTTAGCCATTCATCATTTCGCACTTATTAAAAATCCACATAAAAGTCAATTGCTGATAATATCTTGTAAAATTTCATTATTGAATATAATACCAAACATATAAACATAATTATGGAAATAGAAATACGGAAATATTCATTATTAGGTTCCGGTTTTTGAAAATTTTACCAGGAAAAATTCCACTCAACCCAGGCACAGGGAAGACTTTTCGACCATCTGGAATATTTCCTAGAAAAAAATTATCATGTTTCATAATATAGTAAAATACCTTTTATTCTGCAAATTAGGCCTATTAAAAGATATGGCAGCAAAAAAGTTCTAATTAGTAGGAATATAATTAATCACGTTTTCACCGTTTTAGAAAATTAACTAACCAATTCAAACTGACTGATTCATAATTTATCTGGTTCATCATACAGCCTGTATATATGTATGTATTCAAGAAATGTTTTTAAGATTATTTATCACTTAGGAATTCATTACGAATTAAGGTAGTGGAAAGAAAATGGTAGTGCGTCACCTACGTAATTGGTCGAATCCTGTTTTTACTGTAATATGACATGAGATTTGTTTAAGCGTGCCTATGTTAAAATTGTCTATATTTAATTTGTTTTTCATAATGTTTCCTTGTATTCATAACAGGCAAGAAAAAATAAATTAAAATATTTTACAACAGCTTATGAATGATCTAAACATGGCTTTTGTTTGTTTAATGGGCCCTTCCTTAGGTTGCAGCGTATAATTAATTATCTTAAAAGATCCTCAGTTTGTTTTATATGGAACAAAATAGTTTATTCCCTAAATCTCCCTAAGACCAAAGTTGTAAAAAAAACCTTTATTTATTATTCAGCTTAAGTATTTTTATTATAAATACTTAAGCCTACGCAGTTTTCAATAAAACTTTAGGCCGTATACAGAAAGAAAGCCGAAAGCCGATCGGCGCCGATCGGCGCTTATCGGCGCCTATCGGCGCCGATCCTTCCTACACAAAGGAAGCCGATTAAAGCAGATCAAGCAAAATGTCGGACTCATCGGACGATGAGTTGGTTTTGTTAGAAAATGTTTATTTAAAAATGCGAAAAACAGCTATACATCCTATAAATAGAGAAAGGAAACGTTTCGGAGAATACCATCATTTATTTGTAAAAAAATTTAAATTTGATGAACAAAGATTTTATACATATACAAGAATGATTCGAGAAACATTTTATTACATTTTGGATTTAGTAAAAACCGTTTGATGAAAAATTGGAGCAATTGGCATAAACAACCAATCCTTCCAGAAGAAAGACTTGTTGTCACCATTCGGTAAGTACGAAACAAATAATTTAAGCGCTTAGTTAATAAAAGATAAAGTTATTAGATTTATAAAAAGATTATAACTTAGATTGATTTAATCTAAGGATAATAATTCAAATACAAATTATTTATTATTCGGACCAGCGCGTGTCGGCGCTGATCGGCGCCTATAGGCGCTTATCGGCGCCGATCGGCGCCGATCAGCGCCGATCGGCGCCGGTCCATAGAAAAAGGATCAGCGTCAACAGGCGCCGATAAGCGCCGATCGGCGCTGATCGGCGCTGATCGGCGCCGATCGGCTTTCGGCTTTCTTTCTGTATACGGCCTTAGTCACTGAACTAAAATATTCAATGTGACTCGCCTAACTCGGTATTGATTGATAGGTAAGTGTAGTTTTGCGGGCTTCGTAAAACTGATATCAATGAAATTGATCGAATGATTTTATTGACAAAAACCTATGAGGTTGTACAAAGAATAAATTATGAAACAATGTAATGCGTAGTTTTTCTCTTGTGGTTATCGTTGTTTAATACGAACTGTGTCCAATAGGTAATTTAAAAATTCCTAGAATTCTTTATGGGGTTACTGCGCTTAAATATAAGTATGTACTTATATGATTTACCTATAACAATAAAAGATATAAATTCAAACAAAAGATCAAAAATATAATAAAAAACAAAAACATTTTTATTTCTTATGTTCTGTACGAGTACCCTTAGCACGAGTTTCAGCTCACGAAAACTATCATAGTTTTCGTAATTGTAAATTATGCTTCTATGTCCATTTTGGTGAAAAGTAACCAAATATACTTAAAATTTAAGAAGATGCAAATGATTTAATTATAGAATTTAAACACTGTTTATTTGTATTGAAACAATAACAATGAAAAATGAATAGTTTTCGTAATTGTAAAACTCGAACTAAGGGTACTGTAAAGGATGCGTACCTAACGTATTTAGGTATAAAAGTATTAAAAGCGCATTTTAAACTCGTTGAAAAGAATTTTATTTAATAACAACATTATTAAACGTCTTTGACAGAATATCGCCAAGGTTAATAATGAAATTCCGTAATTATTAACTTTACTTTTCTATTGTTTTAGCCTTCTGGTTTGCTTGAACACCCTCTGCCTTATAGCTGCATGCAAGAAGTGTACTGTATATCACGGTGGGATTCCGCTCGGAAGTACTGTTTAAGGATTGTCATGCCCCACGGATCCCTTCTGTTGCAGGTTAGTGTATATTTATATTTGAAGCTGTTATAAGCAGTTCAAGATTTGTTAAAATATTTTAATCAGGAACTGATTTTGTTTTTATAGTACCTATCTAATAAACACAAAAACATCCCTTTAAAGTGCTCTATTACAAACAAAAACAAAGCCAAGCTTCAAATAATAGGTAACATTACGTTTGTTTTATTAACTTTATCTACAAGTACAATAAATACGCTGATAATTGCCCGTATTCTCACTTTTTATTATGAAAAACTTTGATGTAAGCTAAATTTTAGTGCTTTTTTATATGAAGATTACTTGATACCTATAATTTTGTCCTTATTCAATAAAAAGAATAGAATAAAAAGGCAGAAACAATTCGTTTACTAATTTTTCTCATTACTATTTGTCATTTTTTTTAGTTAAAACTTAGATTAAATCAAAAAGGTTTAAAAGGTCAAACCACTGACTATTTCTAAATTGAATTTAGTGGTAGCTAAACGATTACATAGTTAAGTACATAAACTGACTACATTACTAATAACAAAGTAGTTGATCATTCTTTTTTATTTATAGGTACATTCATAGAATTAAATCGACAATCGGACATACTTTACGTTCTTTTTTTCCTCGTGTTTGTTTCATAACGTACATATCAAATGTAATATCACTAGTCACCAATAACCACAAACAAAACCATTGTGTTGATACAATGACAGGTTCTATTTATATTTGTGGTTTTACACCTACGTAGCATAACGAGTATCTACCTGTGATTTTTGTGATGAAATATATAATATTTTTATATAAAACTATCAGAAATAAATATTTAAGAAACTAAAAATAATTCTCTTAAGAAATATACCTATTGTGATATATGTATGTCGTCCCGTCACTCTATCGTATAATTCGTCAAGTCAGTAAAGTAATATAATAAAATGAATTTCAAAACAAAGATGGCCAAAGCTCCAAAATTGGTGAAAATGTAATACAGGTCAGGTTAGGTGGACACTAGGGTATGGTCCTGGGAAATTCCAGTCTCGAAAATACCATTCCCGGAATTCTACGATGACTAAAATACCCGAGAATCAAAATCTCGTCCCGGTGCTTTCGTTACTTTCGGGAGTAAATCATCATCATCATCATCAATAGCCCATCATAGTCCATAGTCATCGGGAGTAAATAAAAACCGATAATTTTAATATTTCTATTTCAAAATCACGCTAACCCGATTCACCTGTAGTTATGGTTTGCTAGGCCACGAACGAAAGGAGGCGACAATAGGTCAGCTACCGAGTGGAGTAACGCGTGATCCACCACACTCTTGGCGCTAATCTTACCCATTTGCTACTTATTTGACTTGACTATGTTGTGTGATAACTTGTGATTGGATGTGCTTGTGTTTTGAAGAAATGCACACTGATTTTAAAATCTTCAAATACTCCCTACCTATAAAACAAAAATCCATAAGGGTGGTTGAGAGTTTCTATGGGCGGTTATAATGTAGGTTTGTTGAAACAATGTTAGAGTAATTCGATACTCAGTCTCCCAGAACCTTTTCATCATCCTGGAAGGCAGAACGCTAAAAGCATGGATCATCAGTGAGGTAATCCTGTTCTTCAAAAAGGGTGGCAAGACACTCTTGAGGAACTATCCACTAAATCTCAAATCTGACTCATGTTTATGTTGTTCTGGAGAGTCATTACGAATCGTCTCGCTCACAGGTTTCAATACTTTCAACCCTCGAACAAGCCGGGTTTCAAAATGGCTTTAGTACCTACCTAGCATAGAAGAGCACACAGCGGCAGCCTATACAAAAAACTGAAGCGTATAATCTGCGCGATTACCTGACATATGTGGACTTTGAGAATGCCTTCGGCTATACTACAGTTTCTCCAAATGTGGTAAGCAGACTACAGGTGTATCGAGGTGCAAAGAGAGAACAGAGAGAACCAGATCTCTAATCCTATCTTACTGCAACGACGCTTGAAACAGGGTAATTTAACATTCCTAAAACTGTTCACTATGTTGCGTTGGAGGATATTTTCAATGTTCTGGAGTAAAAAGGACTTGACATTAACATTAACTTATACCTTCATTTTGAAAATTATGTAGTTCTTATGACTAAGACCTAGGAAGATCTGAACACATTGCTCGAAGTTATTAATAGTGCTTGCTTAAAAGAGATATAAATATGGATAAGACAAAAATATGTGTATCCACATCACTTAAAATTGATATCACTACACTTGAAGTTGTTGACCAGTACGTATATGGGATCTCATTGAATCCCGTTACGTATATGGGATCTCATTGAATTGGCTACGGGAAACTACGAAAAAACTAAAGACAAAAGCCTTTTACCAGTGTGTGTCGTCAGTATATAGAAGCAAATTGGAAGGCTTAAGGTCACACAGCAAGCATAGGAGGGAGGTGTGCTCGGTATTTTTCTTAATAATAGAATCAGAAAAAAGGAAAGACGTAGGAGAACTAAAGTAACGCAAAGGACGACGCTCAGAGTACGCCCCCATCAGACAGACCGACTATCTGGTGAAGGCTGATATGATAATGATGGTAATACTCGTAACATAAGAAAAATTATATGTTTTATTGTCTTAGTCCCGAAAATGCCGAAAGTTCCGGTAGGCTCGGTTCCGTTAATTTAGTTGACACTGTAATCAAATTATAGCGAAAATCATTGGATCGAAACGAGTCTTTGCGCAAGCCAATCATGAAATGCGGCTTTTCATGATAAGCCTAGAAATTTCATAATCGGGTAAATTATAACGATCGGGCGACGACATAATTATAATTCATTACTATTGTAACATGACAATCGCCTCATTTTGCTAAAACTATTCAAGAATATTTGACAATGTTGTACTAAAGCACTTTTTTTTATATTTCCACTATTTTTACTTATTACTTTAATACCTATTTTTATAATCTAGTCAGTGGATATTGGTAGAATAGTTAAAATAAGCACTCTACCTACTATAGCATGAATGAACATTTTCCCACTGGGGATAACTTTTATATAAGTACACTGAGTTAATCTATAGCAATTTTGCAAATTCGAAAAAGTGAGTAATCTATGCTTTCATAAAAGAAAAGTAAAATCTAAAGAAAATATAACTAGAAAAAATTCCACGCGGACCAGGCAGCAGACGGGACTCGAACCCGCACCCTTCGCAATCCGGGCGAATGCACTGACCAATTATGCTACCGCGGCCCTCACGGACCGCGTCGAAATTCTTTCTAGCTATTCTTAAGCTGCAAGGCAGCGCCATCTCTTCGCATTATAGGTAAACCCACAATGTCAAATGAATACTTTTACAAGTATTAAACATTTGAAAGAAGAAATAGCAATTATAGTTATAATTTTTATTATTTTTAAAGCATGTAACTGCTTGATGTTTAAATCTAAAGAAAATATAACTAGAAAAAATTCCACGCGGACCAGGCAGCAGACGGGACTCGAACCCGCACCCTTCGCAATCCGGGCGAATGCACTGACCAATTATGCTACCGCGGCCCTCACGGACCGCGTCGAAATTCTTTCTAGCTATTCTTAAGCTGCAAGGCAGCGCCATCTCTTCGCATTATAGGTAAACCCACAATGTCAAATGAATACTTTTACAAATATTAAACATTTGAAAGAAGAAATACTGCTGCCTTGCAGCTTAAGAATAGCTAGAAAGAATTTCGACGCGGTCCGTGAGGGCCGCGGTAGCATAATTGGTCAGTGCATTCGCCCGGATTGCGAAGGGTGCGGGTTCGAGTCCCGTCTGCTGCCTGGTCCGCGTGGAATTTTTTCTAGTTATATTTTCTTTAGATTTAAACATCAAGCAGTTACATGCTTTAAAAATAATAAAAATTATAACTATAATTGCTATTTCTTCTTTCAAATGTTTAATACTTGTAAAAGTATTCATTTGACATTGTGGGTTTACCTATAATGCGAAGAGATGGCGCTGCCTTGCAGCTTAAGAATAGCTAGAAAGAATTTCGACGCGGTCCGTGAGGGCCGCGGTAGCATAATTGGTCAGTGCATTCGCCCGGATTGCGAAGGGTGCGGGTTCGAGTCCCGTCTGCTGCCTGGTCCGCGTGGAATTTTTTCTAGTTATATTTTCTTTAGATTTAAACATCAAGCAGTTACATGCTTTAAAAATAATAAAAATTAGAAAAGTAAAACTTGAAAACTGACTCAGTAAAATCATGGACCAATTGGTCCTAATAACGTAAAAAAATTCAAAGGGTTTCTGTTCATATTACACATTATAATGCGCAGCGAGTAATTTCCATAATCTATTTTTATGGTGTTTCTTTTTATGAAACATTACTGACGTAGTTGGAGCTGCTACTTATAAAACCAACCATATCGTAGCGCGGCATGTTTTCTTTCCAGTGGTATTAGTTTATGCACTTCAACAAAACTTCGTTTTATATTTTGACCAGTGTAATGCGAGGAGTGCCTACATTTTATTATTATACAGATATTATTAAGTGTTCTGTGGAATAAAACAGAGACTTTGTAGTTTTGACATAGGAAGCCGTTTCCTTTTGCATTCGATTAATGATAATGCACCATTCAAAATAATAATTGTATAATACAGTCGTATCAATACAATATTGTAATAAACGACTGGCAGCGAAACGAATGCGCTTCATTGTAAAAAAATAGAAAATACACTGGGCTTAGATACGTTACTTACTAGAAAATATGATGAAATATAATTGTGTCATTTCAGGCAAATGATGTTTACACGAGGGACCAGTGGTACCATTCCATTGTGTGGCGGGTAAGTTTCCGTCCATTGTAATGTTCTAATCAATAATGTTGATATCAATAATTAGAGATAAGTACAACAGGTGTTAACGCATAACTTTAATTTCAACTTTTTATTCACAGAAAAATATCATTCGATATCGAAACTTCCTCACAAAGTCTGTAAGAAGAGAAGTGGTTTTAAAAGAATTGAAGGTTTGTTATTTTGATATTACTTAGTTTTAATGTTATTTTTTTTAACATCGCAAATAGTCCATGTTTGTACAAAATCTTTCAGTAGTTTTCAAGATTATTAAGGATATGGACGCTAAAAAACTCGATATTTAAAAAAAATATATTGACTTCAAAATCAAAATTATTTCGGTACTAATTTAAAAGACCTACTCGTACTACAGGAAATCGAAAAATAGGTAACAATCGCATTGCCGATACTGACAAGTTAGGAAATATTTTGAAGTTCTGGTTTTTTAAATAAACCTGAAAACGCATAATATTGTAACGTCAACCTAAATTCAAATGTGCTTCTTCGATAACTTCGCATATCACTTTTGTTAAAAGAAGAGCATACATAATGCACCATTTGAAACAACTAGAAATCTTAATTCTTGTTCTAGGTTAGCAATGACCCTCCTTGAGTCAAGTGTTGATAAGTGCAGTAATGATTTTCATTTTAGACATATCAGTAGTGATTGTATTATAAAAACTTTTAACTCAATTAAAATTAAAAAGACAGAGGATTATTGGGGAATATCAACATATATAATAAAACCGATTATCACTGTTATTTCGCCACAACTGGCCATTATATTTAACAAATGTATTGACGAGGGAGTGTTTCCAGATCTAATGAAATGTGCTAAAGTTATCCCTCTCTTTAAGGCTGGTGACAAATCAGATCCCAGCAATTTTAGGCCTATATCTGTATTACCAGCTCTAAGTAAAGTATTTGAGAAAATAATTTATAACCAATTAGTAGCACACTTTTCTATAAATAAGCTATTTCATTGAAAACAGTTTGGTTTCACTAGAGGCAAAAGTACTACTGATGCTGGAACTGCACTTCTCAAACACATCTTTGATATATGGGAGAGTAAGCATGATGCTATTGGCATTTTTTGCGACTTATCAAAGGCGTTTGACTGCGTTAGCCATGAAACATTGTTAAATAAAATGAAGCATTATGGTGTATCAAATATTTCACTAAGTCTGATACAGTCTTATCTTTCTGCTAGGATTCAGAAAGTAGTTATAAATGAAGCTGAGTTTACAGGAGCACCCATTTCTATAGGCGTGCCCCAGGGTTCAATATTGGGCCCATTGCTTTTCCTTATTTATATCAATGACCTTCCTCACTTTAGAAGAGATTTGTGTGAGACAGTACTATTTGCTGATGACACCTCTTTATTGTTTAAAGCTAGAAGAGGACATGATTGTTATGACGAAGTAAATTGTGCTTTCTCTGAAGTCCTTCACTGGTTTACAGTAAATAATTTAAAACTTAACTCCAGTAAAACAAAATGCGTTAAGTTTACTCTACCTAATGTGAGGCAGGTTAATACTAGTATAAAAATAAATGACCAGCCTGTAGAGTTCGTGGATTCTACATAGTTTCTGGGTATTACTTTAGACTCTCGTCTGCAATGGGATCCTCATATTGATGCCTTGTCAAGTAGATTGAGCTCTGCAGCTTTCGCTGTTAAAAAAATACACACATCAAAAGTGTCTAGGGATCAAGCATTTTTATGCGGATTTCTTGAGATTGAGATGTGGCTTTGTAATAAATTTATGATTTAATAAATTTATATGGATCCTTTTTGGTGCATTTCATAATTTGAATCAGGAACTGTGAATCAAATTCGAGTAAAAGATGAAAATCAGCTGTCAATATTTTCCCTATAAAAACATACAACGCATTGAAGACATTATTAGTGCTACTGTTTCCCTACTACTGATTAAAACCAACGTTATTATGGAGCGGCGACGTCATTTAAGCAGGGAAGAAATGCTCAGAGCCGTGGGAATGATAGAAGCTGGTTCCCGGCAACGTACTGTGGCTTTAGCTCTGAATACAAGTCAGAGTGTTATCAGTCGACTTTGGACACGATACCGAAGCACTGGTACCGTGGCTGAGCGCCATGGAGGACGGTATCGCTGCACCACACGGAGACAAGACCGATACATTCAAATCTTAACTCGAAGAGCTCCAACAATAACCGCCATGATGTTAGCCGTGAGGCTTCATCACTCTTCAGGGAACTTAATTAGCGACCAAACAGTTAGAAACCGCTTGCATGAAGTGAACCTTCATTCCCGAAGACCGCTACGGGTACCACCTATAGCAATGCACAATCGTAGGATTCGATATCAATGGGCTCTTGAACACAGAAATTGGGCAGAAGAACAATGGCGTTTCGTGTGCTTTTCTGATGAGTCTCGTTTTGGTATGAGACCGGATACAAGACGTATACGACACTGGAGAACCCCTGGACGCCAACAGCGATTAAAATCCTGCCAGGAAGTCCATCCTTATAGTGGTGGAACCATCATGGTATGGGCGGGTATTTGGATCGGCGGAAGAACTGAGTTGATTTGGATCAGAGGCAACCTCAACGCTCAAATTTATGCTGAGACGATTGTATCAGACGTCATCGTTCCTCTACAAGTGCAAATCGGTCCCTTATTTCAGTTAATGCATGATAATGCACGACCGCACACCGCAAGAGTTGTAAGACAGACTCTCGCCGCAGCTAACATCAATGTCCTGCCCTGGCCTGCTCAGTCGCCAGACTTGAACCCGATTGAGCATGCATGGGATATGCTACAGAGAAGAGCTCTGCCGAATATGGAGGGTATCCAGTCGCAAGAAGACCTTTTTTTGTTGTTGCAACGAACATGGGCGGCCATTCCACAGCGTGATTTGGATAAACTCATTTTGAGTATGCCAAACCGATGTTCTTGTGTTGTTAGTGTTCGCGGTAGAAATACGGATTATTAATTGTTTAAGTTACCCAATAAAATTTTAGAGAAAACTGTTATTTCAGTCTTTTTTTCGAACTTTTGTGTTAGTGGTTCAAATGTCAAAAATCCCTTTATTAGGAAAATGGCAAATTTCTTTATTAATGCAAAGGTGACTTGGTTTATCGTTACTGTGACAAACGAAAACACTTTATTTGATGAATCCTTAAAGAAAATTTTAATTAATATCAATCAGGAGAAAAGTTATTGCAAAAATATATGTTGATCCCTAGACACTTTTGATGTGTGTAAGACTCTTAACTGATGTGGAAACGGCAAGATTAGTTTACTTTGGTTACTTTCATAGTGTTATGTCATATGGCCATAAGTCATAAGTGCAATTACGAGTTCGCTACACAAAACAAAACAGAAAATTTGTCTGTTTTGACATTTTTAAGCGAATCATCATCATAATGGTAAAGTGGGTCAGGATCTATTTATTCGATAGTTTTTATACAATATGTAATACGGTTATTTAGTAACTTTCCATAGTTAATAATTTGTGTTATAATTATAACTCTATTTAGTTAGAGACTAATCAATTTTGTGTAGTAGTGTAGAAAATAGAATTGTTTGTTATTATTTTGTTTCTATTATGTTTATGTTTTTTGTTGTTTCTCTTGTTATTCTTTCATGCGATACCAAACCGGTTCCAACGGAAGACCAGCGCTGATGGCAACATTAGCACTATGCTGAGTTGGGACCGATTTGAGACATTTAATTGTTTTATTTTATTTTTTGTTATTATTTTTCTTGTCTCAATATAATTATTTTTCTTTATTTTTTCTGTATTAGGAATCTTATACAGCTTTTTGCTAAAAATCTATTATTTCTTTTTAAGAACATGGTGGATTTCGTGATGACGACCCCATTGCAAGATGAAAGTGTGACGCGTGCACCTCTACAAATCCTCACCGATCTGTTATCAGAGGTAATTATAAATATTGTTTATAATTATAAACAAAATAATCATTAATTAGTATGTACAAAGGGGTTGTATCATATATTCTTCTAATTGAACGGATAGAACAAAGCAAAGCTTTTAAAAGAAAGAACCTTTTTTTTTAAATACAGCCCACTTATACCAAAGTTAAAAAAAGATATGTATAAACGCATCGCTTTGAATTCAAATAGTTGACAAGAATGGAGTAAAATAGCATTGGAAAGCTTAAATTTTATTAAGCGTGTAGAAATACTTCTGATTATTTAACAGTAATTTAGTAGTATTATTTACATCAACAGATATTTTATCTATGTAGGTAAATATCGTTCATGCAAATGTGATAACGTTTATCCTGTTGGAATAACCCGACGCTGCCTGGTTTACATAGGTACTAAGTTTCACGCTGCTTGCCGATAGGAAATGTGCATGTTTTATTTACCCGATTGCGCAGTGCCAGAGCGCGAAGCGCGACGCGCAGGCAGGGTATAGTGTTTAACAGTTTATATAATTATATATGTTCCTTTGTAGCACACTAGAGACGAAACACGTGGGTCGATTCGTCCTAATCATGGGAGTGCTACTAAAGATATGGTAGTAATCGAAATTCAATATGGGAACAATTAGGCGCCATATTGTAAAAAGTGTAAATTGACGAAATATGTCAAAAAATCATGTTAAGGTTCATACACCATTTATTATTTTATATTACTGTTTAGGATCTACAACGATTTAAAGTCATATATTAACCACTTGCGCCTTTAATTTCAATCTTACGTTTATATGGATCTTTTGTACCCTTTAACCCAAAAAATACTAAATGGATTTTAATGAAACATAACAGTAATATAACTCATACATAATAATAACATAAGTATAATATATGTCGCTATTAAGTAAATGGGCCAAAATATAACAATAATTGTCACGTAAGACGGAAAAACAACTCTCATCTGTGAGCCATTTTGGCCTGCACTGCAAAAACAATAAATGTTACATGTGTATAGTGGAAATGTAACTCTTAAATAGTTCTACTATAATATTATTCGATATCCATTTTCAAAATGCTCATTTCGTATTAACAAATATTTTTTATTAAAACAAATACTTATATATATCGCTTTTGATATTTAAAGACGATAAACTTTCCCTTTTACACTTTTGACAAATATTTAAAAAGGTACAACGATGAAAAAGCGATATGTATGAGTAGACTGCGGTAATGGCGGGAGAAGATATTTTAATAAATTTTGGAGCTTATAAACGTAGATAAAACCTAGGAAAAGATAAAAATGGGCTACTCGCAGTATCCTATACGAAATACTTACAATAAACAGAATTATAGACTACTGGACTTGTTTTTTTCTTTTCAGTTTTTATTTGTAGTAATAATTAAACAGTCCGTTTTTATATTTTTTAAGTTACCTTTTTTATATTTTCATTTAATTGTTTACATCCCTTTTATACAGTATACAAAAAATAAAAGGCCAAAAAAATAGTAGTCTCTTAAAAGATGTTAAAAGTTGCCACTTTGCACAGGCAGCTAAACTCGCGCTATTTTGGAACGCTTGGATGTGACATCACGATACATCAAACCTACAAACAAGATCAATGACCTTACAAGATACGGACATTTCGCGTTCTATACCTTCACTAGGGATGGAAGTTAGAACTTACGTTAATCAAATAGACATTAAGTTTCATTCATTTTTGGTAAAAATTTAAATGACAGTGAAAAATTACACTCGGTGTCTAGGTAGAACACGGCTTTGACATCTACTTACTCGCACTATAATCTCGTTAACATTGGCATATCCTGTGAACGTCACGTTTGTTTGTTGTTAGATATATTTTAACGTCACAACCGCTCTCGACGCGATTTATATATTTGAATTTCTTACAAGTTATTCGCACATTCATATCATTAATTTCTTGCTCGAAAAGAAATAACAAATATTGATGAAGTGACATATTAAAAGTAGATAATAGAGTTTATATAAAATTAAAAGACGCTTAATTGGATTACATGGATATTCCGGATATTCCCTTTTACCTTCATTAAACAAAAGTATTTGCCCGCTAGCAAAAAAATATTTTGACACTTGTTAAATCCTCTGTTGCGAGATAAGTATGCGATATTTTCATATATATATCTAAGATTAATTGCTAGATTGACGGCCGACGGACGTTCGAAACTCTTTTGCTTGTTACCATCGAGTTATATGCTATGAACGAGCCAACATAAACATCTAATAGTTTTACTACGGTATTTACGGATATTCTAAAGTATGGTTTTATAACTAACATTGTTTTATACGCGATTTTACCTGAGTTAAAAATAAAGTTATGTGTAGAAAAAATTAACTAGAATCCGGTCAGCTATCAGGCTAGAATCATTTCCTTGATTTGTATTCTTTGGTCAATCATTGCCAAACTTTTAAAAGCTGTATTAATAGTTGTTACCTATACCTAATGTATAGGACATGGATATTATAAATACCTATTTTTTTTTTCAGAAAAAAGACAGTCCTCAATGGGAGGAATGGGCAGAGCAGGTGACAAGCGTTGCGGCCCCACTGCTGGCGGAGCGGTGCGCGACGGGCGAGCTGTGCGCCTTGCTGGCAAGGCTGTGCCGGCGGAGACCGCGCGCCGCACCGCTACCCGCCCTCGCTCCGCCCGTGCGACGTGTCCTGACACGAAATGTTGATTTCGCAAGAGCACCAAACGCTAGGCGACTCGTTCGAGATTATATAAGGTAAAATAATTTATTTAGAAGAAAGTACTTGTGTCTTCACCTCTTCAGTACGCTAGTCTCCGCCGCTGCCCGCTCTCGCTTCACCCGTGCGACGTATCCTGACGCGAAATATTCTTTCGCAAGAGCACCAAACGCAAAGCGACTCAGTAGGGATTAAATAAGGTAATTCATGTGTTATGTGTGAAAATACTTTTATACACCGCACTGCTGCCGCTGCCCGCCCTGGCTTCAGTTTTGTGGCGTGTCCTAATCCGTAATTTTGAATTCGCAGGAGCAATATCAGGTAAACAATTTCTTTTGTGTGAAAGTACTTTTTTCCTATAAATATATCATGAGCTTTCGACACGATTCGCAACAGGTAGTCCTTTTTACCCGACTGCACAATGCAGGAGTAACGAAGCGCGACGCGCAGACAGGGTATAGTGTTCTTACCCGACTGCAAAATTAGTCCAGGAATTTTGCACCAAAAATCGGTCCGCTCTGCATAAAATCCTTCTACGTGATTTTTTGATTGGATTATATCAGAGGGTGCCCCCTAAGTACAAAACCGAGTTTCTGTCGCCCGAAACCGCGAGCGTTAGCCGCCATCTTGGAAACCGTTTTTTTGCATATATCTCGGAAACGGTAAGTTTTACGTTAAAAACCGAAGAGATCTTTTTGTAGAGAACAAAATTTCCCATCTTTTTTATACCAAACTTTTCCCCGTATTGTTGATATTTTCCGATATATTGAAGTAAAAAAACCAATTTTTTTTTGTTTTTGTAAAGTATCTCAATAATTTTTGGAGATACGAAAAAAATGTTTGAATTAAAGTTGGAGAGCATGAAATTTTCTACAAATTTTGTATAAAACTTTTTCTTGCAAAATGATTAGTTGCTGAGTTCCAGCTGAATGACTTTAGAATCTAAAACTATTTAAACTTAAAGTTGTGCAACAACTAAGTACTTGTGCTTTTAATTTCAATCTTAAGTTTTATGGATCTTTGTGACTCTTTCACTCAAAAAATACTAAATGGATTTTAATAAAACATAACAATAATATAGCTCATACATAATAATAACATAATGATAATAATTTATGTAGTTATTAAGTGAAATGGCAAAAATATAACAATAAGTGTCACATAAGACGGATAAAAATCTCCCATCTGCGAGCCATTTTGGCCTGCAATGTAAAAACAATAACAGTTACATAAATATAATAATAATAAATAAATATTTCCGACACTCACACCAATTAGCCTAGCCCCAAAGTAAGCACTATAAGGCTTGTGTTATGGGATGCTAGGGTAACGGATAGAATACATATACTGTACATATATAAGTATATTTATATAAATACATATTAAATATCCATGACTGGAGTACAAATGCTCGTATTCATCACACAAACATCTGCCCCCACCGGGATTCGAACCCGGGACCTCTCGAGTGGTCTAGTACCCATTGGACCCTCAAGATTCGACCCAATAGCAAAAAGTGCCCATTGGACCTCTTTTTTGGTGTCCATTGGACCTTCTTAAAACATTTTATATTCAATGTGCCCATTGGACCTCTTTTTTGGTGCCCATTGGACCTCCTTAAAAAAATTATATTCAATGTGCCCATTGGACCTCTTTTTAAGTGCCCATTGGACCTTCAAGATTATACCCTACTGCCAGTTGGACCTTATTGACAGTTTTGTTAAGCACAGTACAGTCATGTAGAAAATTGCAGACAAAAATAAAATTAATAGTAGGTATTATAAAGCCATTAACTAAATACTGTATAAGTACTTACTCCAAACAGTAAGTACTCCTAAACAAATTATAAAGAAATCAGGTTACCTTTTTTCTTCGAATTAACGATATTTCGCCGTCCCCGGAGAATAAAAAGATAACTACAAAAATGTAAGTTTTCAGGAAAAATAAAAAAAAATGATTTTTGTTTATTACTCTATAAATACTGGACGCAGACAGATAATAGTAACCTTTAAGAAAAGCTAATTTTTAACACATTTGGATTTTTAATAAGATACTCGTACAATAACATATAAGGGAGATATTTAGAAAATTAAAAGTGAATCAAATCAAAATTTTATTTGTATAATGTTTATTTTTATTTTATTCGTATTGACAAGGAGCCAAAACCAAATATTGCACTACTGACATGTATTTTTATTCTATGGGTTATAATGGTGCCAGTGACAACGATAATACTTCAATATCTTTTTATTTTACATTTGACATTATATATGTTTGTGCCTTAGGTTTAAAGGAATGATCATTAATAACATTAATTTTAAATTTAATTACATTAATGATCATTAATGTAAAAAGGTTTCACTCAATAGGGCGATCGTACACTGACCAATAAATACCCTTACAGCGCAACACCAAATCCACAAGACCTTTCAAATCGAACAAAGTTCGATTGATTCAAAGTTCCTTAAAACAGCTTAGATCTAGACAATCTAAGCAACATGACGGTGGATTTTGCAAAGGCATCATCTTTTGATCTAAGACTGAAATTCTGAGGGAGATTGAGTGTTTTTATCGGCAGTTATACTCCTCTTAAGCACCTGATGAAAGGAAGGTTATACATAGATTCCAAGGCCAAGCAATCTCTGCGCTTAAACAATAGGATGGCGCCGATCTCATATGTGGGAGAGACAGCAATATTTCTCATATTGCTGTCTCGTTCAGATTTATGACCTATGTTGCAGCTAGAAAATAATCTTACAACCGTAGGCCATTGCTTAGAAAAATTACTCACATATGTGTCTTAAATATTTAATTTGGTAATTTATAATGTTTTACAAAAGAAGACTGTTAAATTTTTTATGGAGGTTGGTATTGGGTCTTTCGGCTTTAAAAAACTAGAATTTTATTTTATTCCGGTTTTTTATATAAAAATAACATAAATCTATAATAATTAATTGATTTGCAAATGGCAAGTTTATTTATCTATTTTTTGTTGCCAAGCATCAAATATATTATGTTCAATGTGTAACAAAAGCAGTGATAATAATTCTGATAGAAAGTGATTGAGTTGACGTTATAAGCCACCACGCACTAAAAATATGACGTTACTAATATAGGGTGGCCAGCATACTTACAAAATTGTTTAATTATTAAACACGATTTTAAATTAATCGGTAATGAATAAAAAAATCAAAGTATCTATTCATGTTATACAAACTTTCAAATTATATATATTTCGTCCCTGCCGGAAACTGACTACCGCTTTTGAACCATATCCCTTAGTTAAAGTATGCTTTTTTAATAAGCAATTTCTCGTTAATGGTAAAAATATGATTAGAAAACATTTTTTTATAAAATGGAATATGAAAATATTACATTGGTATTTTATTTTATGAATATTTAGAATACATAATAATTATGCTTCAATAGTTAATCTGAGTGATATAAAAACTGTATGTATAATTTAGTTAAGATATCTGATAAAAAAACATTTCTATTTAAAAGTAAAATAACTAAATCTGTGATTTGATTATTATATTATATGGTTTGTTGCTGATGATTGATGTTTCGAATTTTATAAATATGTTGATTTTAAATACTTACATTTATAACCTTTGTGCTTTTATTTATTTTATCAATATTTAGAATATATAATAATTGTGATATAACAAACCATATTTATAATTTAGTTAAGCTATTTGATAAAAAATAATTTCTATTGGCTTTAAAAGTAAAAAATCTGTGATTTGATTATTATATTTTATATAAATATTTATATTGGTTTGTTACTGATGATTAGTATTTTGAATTTTATAAATATGTTGATTAAATACTTAGATTTATAACCTTTGTGTTTTTATGTCTTTTACAATGTTACTTTACTACACGACTGTACTTTACCGTTCCAAAAGAATTAGCCAAATAGTTAAGAGCTCCAATAGCTCCCATTGTGTCGTTAAGTACGTCTTTGAGGGTCCAATGGGCACCATATTCTTGATAGGAGGTCGGACGGGCACTTTTTTGCAGGTAAGGTCCAATTAGGAGGGTCCAATGGGTACTGGACCTCTCGAGTCGGCGACAGCCATGAAACCCGGCGTACAAACCTCTCGGCCACGGAGGTCGTCAATAATGTGTGGTGGAAATATATATCTCTTAAATAGTTCTACAAAAAAGTCCGCGAAAGTGTATTATATCTATTTTTAATGTGTAAGCCATTATCGCTGAAATAGTGAAAAAAAAAAAAAAATTATTTGATATCAATTTCCAAAATGCACATTTTATATCAACAAATTATTTTTTATCAAAACAAATACTTTTATCGCTTTTGATATTCAATGATGATAAACTTTGCCTTTTACACTATGTCATTTTGACAAATATTTAAAAGTTTACAACGATGACAAAGTGATAGCCCGGGGTAATTTGCAGGAGTAGACTGCGATGCGGGAATGGTGGGAGAAGAAACTCGCAGTATCTAATCCTAAACGAAGTACTTACAATAAAACTGTGAGACAGTTCCTTCTTAAATAAAACTAGTTTTTACGGGTTAATGCACGAAACTTTATTTATTTATTGACGTTTCGTAGCCTTTACAGTTACACATTCGAGCTACCTTCGAAAGACTTTTTTGTCTGAAAAAGTCTTTCGAAGGTAGCTCGACAAAATTAAATAAAATTTGATTCTGACGACGTAGCCTGTAAAGGCTACGAAACATCAATAAATAAATAAAGTTTCGTGCATTAACCCGTAAAAACTAGTTTTATTTAATAGGTGATGTGCGTGAAAACCTAAGAAACAAACAGTTCCTTCTTATTAAATGTTGCAAAATAAATAATCATAATAAGTATTTATTATTGTTGAAATTTAATTAAAAACTCAGAACTATACTGTTTTCAAAGTTTATGTTAACGATATTACATCACGTTACTAAAGGGTTACTAAACATAATGAGAAATAAATAACCTATTATTCGCTGGTAGATAGATACTTAATGGACTCCCTGTATTTATTAATCAGCTCGCGATAATGTTGGCTTTGTAATTATAAACGATAATTCTGCAAAAATTTAAGCAAATGATATAAAGTTTTATAGGTATCTCACCCCTTCCATTACCCCTATAAAGTATTTCTATAATGTAGCTTAGAACCAGTCTCATCTTTTTCTATAGGGAAATTTATTATAAGCGATTTAGCTAATATGGGGCGTATTAAACAATCTCACTTTCGCATCTATAATATTATATTATACTAGTGATCCTCCCCGGCATCGCACGGGCGAAATTTATTTCAACGGTATAGCCTATATCACTGGGATATTATGTAGTTATAAAGAAAGTTTTTACTAGAAAAATTTCCTCTCGGAGAAGTTGTCAGAGTGGATTTTTTCAAGTAAAAGTTTACTTTAGATTTATAAATCGAGAAGATTAATCAACGGTATTAAGATAAATGCTTGAAAATATAATAATAAATAATGAAGCTACCTATTGAGAATGAATGTTCGATATCGGTTCAGTAGTTTAAGAGATTATATGTTACAAACATACAACTCTTGTCTCTTTATAATATTAGTATAATAGATATATAATAATACGTAATTGATGAAAAAGATTTAAAAATATAAGTCTATAACTTAGCATATTTTTATTATTGAAAAATTTGATCCATTCTTGGATATCTAATGGGACTGTTAAAGAAGCTTTTTTCCTTACTTAACAGAATAATGGATTACTGGACTTGTTTTTTTCTCTTCAGTTTTTATTTGAAGTACTATTTAATGCAGTCGGATTTTCTGATTTTTTAAATTTACCTTTTTTCTCTTTTATGTGCACCATGAACTTCTGACGCAATTGGCAACAGCGGTCGATTTCCGTGACTCTTTCTTCAAAGGATTGCATATAGGGATATATGGTCGTTAATATTAGTAAAACATAACTCAAAGATAAGTAGGTAGTTACTTAATACACAAAAAAAAAAATGTTCACCCATAACTTGATATGCTTAAGTAGGTAACTACATATAATAAAATATGTATTTTGTGGTGCGAATTATTATTTTACGAGATAAATGAGGTGATGACTTTAAAAAATCAATTTATCATTAGTGTTCATAATTAAGGTCATTGTGAAGGACACATCGAGTAATAGCGACTGTCATTATAAACCTATACAATATTAATAATTTGGTCTGCCCGACTCAGTACGAAGATAGCCGCCTGACCAGCATAGTTAATTAACTTGGTACTTAACTACCCAACCTTATTTGGTTACGTATGCTTAGTCTTACCGGTCTTACGCACTTGTTATGCTGAGTAAATGTTTGGAGCAAAATTCTTTTAAGATCGTTGCAGTGACGTCAGTTAATACGATGACGCCTTTAACGTGTTACTTAGACAGGGTCATTTTTTCACTACGGTAAATTTACTTTTAACATACTTAAGAACAGTTTTCTTAATTTTAGTGATTGTATATGAACAAAAGTAAATTTTGAGCAACAGTAGTGAAAAGTTGCTAAAAAATTATTCATTGTCTACCCACAATTTATGGAATTCGTACCGCATTTGAAACTAGATGGGATATTACCTAATATGTTATATACATATTATATATTTATGTAACTAATATTTATTTTTATTAAATGATAAGTAGATAAGGTACATTAAATGGATGAACATAAATATGAAACATTATTACTTTTTCATAAAAAAACTACAAGGCACCACTATTTATATACTAGGCATGGCCCTTAAAATATTTCTTGCTTCAGTTAAAATATATATTTTCACAAAATGCTTGTATCTAAGCAGATAAGCAGCTCTCATAAGTAACAAAGAATTATGAAAGTTTTATTATAAAAAAATGTTTTTAATAATTATTTTCTTACAGTAGCTATGTGTGGTAAGGAATGACGTCAAAGAAATTAAGAATCTCGATTAGGTATTTCCGTCTGGCCAGTGGTTAGCAAAGAGCAACTGATAACGTTTCCTATTAGAGTTCACATAGCCACGTTTCCCGCCAAACAATTGACGTCACACTATATTACAAAACTATAACATGTGAGATAGGTACTCGCGACCATCTATGAACTTTGGTCGAGGTTACGTTACAGTAATATTTCAACAATAAGCTGTGGGAGGCTTGTTTTCGTCCCTAAACATTTTAGATTGTTAGCTACTAACCGATGCTTAAATTAATATAGGTACTCTGTCTGGCTTCTTTTATCTGTAATAGATTAGAAAAAAAAATAGTGTTACTTATATGTATTAAGGTAGTTAATAATTTAATAAATGTAGTGGAAATTTCTATAACAGCAGTTTTTAATTAGGTACACCTGTATTTAAAATATAGGTAATGTCGTTTGGTTGAGTTCTCACCATTTTATGACATATAAATAATAACGTTTATTTGCATTAGGATAGACGGTCTTTTTTATGGGTTCCACCAAGGTGAATCAATCACGTTAAATCATATGTAACTACCCTTATACTAGAATTTATAGCTACGCTCGTACGTAAAAAATCATATCGTATATCCTTTGTGAAAACAAAGGATTGAAAATCACTAGGCATATATTTCATAGATCGTATAACTAATAAAAGAACATAAGAAACATAATTGAACAACCATAATTTAAGGACCGCGTTTATAAAGCTTAATTGAAATAATGATGATTCCTACTTCATGAATAGGAAATTCGCTGAAAATACCTGAAAACTAGAGTTAAAGAGGGCAATGTAAAGAGAGATGCTATAGAAATAGCAACAGACCTCGATTCCTACTAAATAGGCCTAAATAAAAATGAGTACATTACAATGATGGACCAAGAATGTCGTAACTTGCGGCCAAAGTCCATGAGCCACCAACCGTAACAACTCCGTTGGGTGGATAATATAATAATATATTTTATGTTGGCGTTAATTGAATCCAAACAGCACGAGATGACATGGAATATATACCTATCAGTCTTACTCTATATCTGAAAACATTAAAAAACCGGCCAAGAGCGTGTCGTGCCACGCGCAGTGTGGTGTTCCGTGGTTGCCTGTCGTTACCACAATATATTTGAGCAGGAGTCTTTATTTTCTGTACTGGAAATTAAAAAAATCAATTTTTAAAGTTAGTTTATTTTAGAATTTGTTTTTCAATGTAAGGTTTTACGCTGCAATGACTTCATCTATGTCACTATTAATGTTTTCTTCTAAGGAATTTTCAAAAGATAAACATAAATAAATTTATTTAACCAAAGTTGAACGACTTAACTCTCTTAACCTAAACTAACGACTCTTAAACTCTTATCTCAACCGTTATAATTTGCCTTAAAAGTTCATAAAAAGGACTATTTTTCCAGGTTTTTCAAGCCAACAGTTTAGCTTTGAGAGGGGGCTACGGAACCCTAAAAAAGGTAGCACTCTGATGTAGGTACTTTAAACATTTGAGAAGATATTTCACAAACAGTAGTTTTTAGACCGTGTCTGACCTACATCCGCTACATCTAACGAGGGTACGACCGAATAGAAACTTTAAACCCGGTTACCTCAATCACTTCCATGAAAATGTAGGTAAAGTGCTATTCAAACTTAATAGCAGCTGTGAAGTTAGCGCAAGTCGCGGTGCGGTTAACGAAAATGTAGGGTGATGCACGCGGGATGCTACTGAACTAAAACGCACACACTTACCTACTACACACGTTGATAACTTCACAACCGCCATAAAGTTTGATTCGCGCTATTTCAAATCAACACAAACATGTTTCGAAATAGCTAATTATGTGCTTTGTGTGTACTTATGAATGTTTTCCCTAATTCGCAGTGCACTAAGCGCTCACAATTCTGGTGCAACCTTAGTGCGCCGCTTTGTGGAAGTGACGCATGGTGGGAGAGCTACCTGTCCGCATCCACGCGCCGCTCCGAATCTGGCCGCGGTTGCACTAGCCGCCCTGGATGACCACTATCGAAATGTGCCCGTTCAACATATCTGTGATGATCAAGAGGACGATGTGCTGTGCTTCGCAGACATTCTCGAATACATGTAAGTGTATTTATGCTTATGCTCAAGAAATTGTGATGCTGGGAGCTACCTCTCCGCATCCACGCGCCGCTCCGAACCTGGTCGCAGTCGCACTAGCCGCCTTGGATGACCACTATCGAAACGTACCCGTTCAACATGTCTGTGATGACCAGGAGGGCGATGTTTTGTGCTTCGCAGAAATTCTCGAGTTCATGTAAATATGTATAATATGCTTATGCTCAGACGAATCGTATAACACGAGCCGTAGGTACGTGCTTACCAAAAACGAATTATTAAATCACCTTAACTGAAATAACTTATAAGTAAGTCTAACGGAAAAGTCAAATAACTTTTAAGATTGAATAAAGTTGATACTATCACTTTCTTTGCGATGCGAATAGAATTAAACAACATATGACTTGATGGGGTATTATGTTTCTGAGTACCTACGGATGTAAAACAGTAAGAGACGAATTCCGTAGATATGCACACAGTGAAAGATCATAACATTTAATTGTAAATTAAATAACAAAACCTTCTTTCAGGTGTGAATACGAAGACTGGCTACTCGTGGTAGGAGCAGTGTTACAACCTGTTCCACTGTGCCCCGGAGCATTGAGCTGTCCCCGCGTCGCCCGAAGACTTGGCAACGTGCTGTCAGCGCTGGCTTGCGACACCCGATGCTTGGCGCACGCTTGCGTCACACCGTGCAGGGCGGCCAGGCCCTCACCGCCGTCTTGGTTGAAGGCTGCTGCACCCACCGATCCTTTACTCGCGTTACCTAATCAGCAGCTTTGCCAGCTTTGGGGAGACATGGTGAGTACCTACATTTAACAAATAATATGACAATGTGCTAGCAACCCTAGCGCGTGATACCTATTGGTCAGCTCATGCTTGCGTCACGCCGTGCAGGGCAATCAAGTCTTCTCCACCTTCTCGGTTGAAGGCTGCTGCACCCAACGATCATTTACTTGCGTTACTTAATCAGCACTTGTACCAGCTTTGAAAAAATATGGTGAGTACGTTTCACAAATCTCTGTAACGAGCATATGGGCCGTCTGATAGTTAGCAGCCACCATTGCGAATAGATACTAGTGATACCGTAACACGCCTATCCTGACCCATTCCTATATGACATTGAGCTCTGGAAACCATACTTATCATCATCATCGGCATATTGTGTCCTTCCCTATTGATGGAATAGGGAGAGATAGAAACCAGCGACACAATACGAAACAATACTGTACTGTACCAATACCTATACGGCTGCAATCTTCTGTGAGGATTAAATTACTTTCGCTACGATTGCTAAAAACTTATACTAAAAAGGTGTTAGTTAGATAGATGATAATATCCTGAATAACTCGGTATTTAACTGTGTAAAGTACTTAATCTATAACCGTTGTATTCTGAAAATAATTGTTAATGTGATAATGTTGTTTTGTTATAGGTAGGGAGTTTACTACATTGTTGCAGTAAAAGAAAAAGTTTTCTTCAAAGTATGAGTAAACAACTTCCAGATTTTGTTTTAGTCGCCCTAAACGAACACGTAAGTAAAAATCATAATACACACATCAAAAGTGTCTAGGGATCACCATATATTTTTGCAATAACTTTTCTCCTGATTGATATTAATTAAAATTTTCTTTAAGGATTCATCAAATAAAGTGTTTTCGTTTGTCACAGTAACGATAAACCAAGTCACCTTTGCATTAATAAAGAAATTTGCCATTTTCCTAATAAAGGGATTTTTGACATTTGAACCACTAACACAAAAGTTCGAAAAAAAGACTGAAATAACAGTTTTCTCTAAAATTTTATTGGGTAACTTAAACAATTAATAATCCGTATTTCTACCGCGAACACTAACAACACAAGAACATCGGTTTGGCATACTCAAAATGAGTTCATCCAAATCACGCTGTGGAATGGCCGCCCATGTTCGTTGCAACAACAAAAAAAGGTCTTCTTGCGACTGGATACCCTCCATATTCGGCAGAGCTCTTCTCTGTAGCATATCCCATGCATGCTCAATCGGGTTCAAGTCTGGCGACTGAGCAGGCCAGGGCAGGACATTGATGTTAGCTGCGGCGAGAGTCTGTCTTACAACTCTTGCGGTGTGCGGTCGTGCATTATCATGCATTAACTGAAATAAGGGACCGATTTGCACTTGTAGAGGAACGATGACGTCTGATACAATCGTCTCAGCATAAATTTGAGCGTTGAGGTTGCCTCTGATCCAAATCAACTCAGTTCTTCCGCCGATCCAAATACCCGCCCATACCATGATGGTTCCACCACTATAAGGATGGACTTCCTGGCAGGATTTTAATCGCTGTTGGCGTCCAGGGGTTCTCCAGTGTCGTATACGTCTTGTATCCGGTCTCATACCAAAACGAGACTCATCAGAAAAGCACACGAAACGCCATTGTTCTTCTGCCCAATTTCTGTGTTCAAGAGCCCATTGATATCGAATCCTACGATTGTGCATTGCTATAGGTGGTACCCGTAGCGGTCTTCGGGAATGAAGGTTCACTTCATGCAAGCGGTTTCTGACTGTTTGGTCGCTAATTAAGTTCCCTGAAGAGTGATGAAGCCTCACGGCTAACATCATGGCGGTTATTGTTGGAGCTCTTCGAGTTAAGATTTGAATGTATCGGTCTTGTCTCCGTGTGGTGCAGCGATACCGTCCTCCATGGCGCTCAGCCACGGTACCAGTGCTTCGGTATCGTGTCCAAAGTCGACTGATAACACTCTGACTTGTATTCAGAGCTAAAGCCACAGTACGTTGCCGGGAACCAGCTTCTATCATTCCCACGGCTCTGAGCATTTCTTCCCTGCTTAAATGACGTCGCCGCTCCATAATAACGTTGGTTTTAATCAGTAGTAGGGAAACAGTAGCACTAATAATGTCTTCAATGCGTTGTATGTTTTTATAGGGAAAATATTGACAGCTGATTTTCATCTTTTACTCGAATTTGATTCACAGTTCCTGATTCAAATTATGAAATGCACCAAAAAGGATCCATATAAATTTATAAAATCATAAATTTATTACAAAGCCACATCTCAATCTCAAGAAATCCGCATAAAAATGCTTGATCCCTAGACACTTTTGATGTGTGTAGATATATGAGTTTCTTTATCCCACAAAGTTTTGGCGAAATTAAATGTATTTTTTTATTACAGCCTGCTGCGTTAGAGGCCTTATGTCTGATGCTGGAATGGGAAGTTGCTAGTGGAGAACAAACTCAATTAGAAGTAATAGCTGCTCTTCAGGGTACCGAATTAGGGCAAAAGTACTACAAAGACCTTTGTGAAAGACAGCAAAATCTTCAAAGATTGGTGAGCACAGACAGATTACTGCGACATTGCAAACTTAGATCATGTGTTCTTGCCTAATAAATTGATATAAGACACGATATCAGAAATAATGCTGATGGTACCTACCATATAACCTAAAATCGACAGCTTATCCTAGCCAATACCCAACAACAAGCTGTTTGTTGATCAATGAATAAAACACCTATTGTACGGGCTTATGCACGACTAATTAACATTTCTAATTACTCTTGTCAACTTAGATCCTTCACAAGCTTTGTGGTTGCACTTATATGCTTTCATAAAGTGTTTAAAATTTAGTCGGAAATGCCAATTTGCTTTTTTACAGCAAGCGGAAGGTGGTCCACGGCGATTAGCGCTTCCGGTACGAGCCACGGACGCGGATGTCGAAGCGCTGCTGGAGACAGGAGCTCTTGGCAACCTGGAATGCCTTTCGCTCGCTTTCACCAGCGTCACCAGCGCTTGTGCTCACCATCTTATCAAGGTACCCTTCCATATTTGAAAAAGTAAAAACTAATAAGTAATAGGTAAGATCAAAATAAACAAATAGCTTTTAACGAACCACTAAATCAAAATTAGGCTGATAAACACAATACCCTCTCTATGCGTCGCGTTTAGTACAGGTTGCGTCGCGCAGACGGATAAAAAGCGAAACGCTCTCCCAGATGAGAGCGAAAGCAAAGCTAATCACCTTTAGCTTGAGCGTAAATGAATAAACGAATCACAAAGGAAAAAAACGAGCATACGCAGGACGCTGTCCCACATTTAAAAATGAAGATAATAGCAAAGCTGATGATGGTGATGCTTTAGCGTAGGTATATGAATATAAACCAAGAGCTTACAGTAATTGAGCTAAGGGAAATTGAATCAAGGAATACAGCAAGCTAGAAACTGAGCTGTAATAAAAAAAACTAAGAAATATCAGCAACATAAGAGAGTTAAGTCTTCATTGGTAAACAACTTTTTAGTACTCACGTGTAAGCAATTTGTTCCACAGCTACCTTCACTACGGTACCTGAATCTATGGGCCACGAAGTTCGGCGACAGCGGCGTGCAGCTCATTGCCGAACATCTGCCACGTCTCCAGGTGCTAAACCTCTGCGAGACGCCCGTGTCTGATAAGGGAATAGAAGCGTTATCAGGTGAATATTTGCACATTTTACGGTTTAAAAAACAATACATTACTCATAAAAAATTACAAAATTCGCTTACCATGACAACATAAAAAAAAGAGTCGGGGTAGAACTAAAAAAAGTGTAATTGATTACGTTCATAGGGGCATAGATGGCTCGGCCAAAATGCTTGAAGGCCAGTGTGTAAGGAATTAAATGTGTAAATATTTTATTTGCTAGTTCAACGCCACTATTCATGTTTAATGCAGTTTAATCACGGGAATACCGAATTTAGTAATTCAATTTTTAAATGATGTTACAGATTTTTAAAGCTTACAAATATAGAAATAGAGGCTGTTGTTGATAAAAGAAGCAATTGATCTGGAGACGTTCTCTGGTTAAATTTTTAAGAGTTATTTTACTCCTTAATTGAGCTGTATTAAAATTTCACCAAGATATTCCCGTTTTCTTGTTTTATAAGACTTACCACCGATAAATGCTTCAATATGCAGTTCTATAGCATATGCCCATTAGTAATTAAGTCAGCTCAGTGTCTAAATAAGCTTATTTTTTCAGTTTTATCGAATTTGCGTAGACTGAACTTGAACAGCACGAAACTATCAGCGGAAGCGTTCGACATGCTTCGACAGCGACTGCCTCAGTTACAAGAGTTCGATATCCGTTACACAGAAGCGTGGTGACAGCGGACACCGCCAAGACCCAACAATTCAACTATGTAGATTTATATTCGCACGAGATGTCAGTGAAGTGAAACCTGCGCATAGTTGCGCTCGTTTCTAACTTCATAACCTAAAATTTGGAATCGCACTATTACATGCACGATCGACCAGTGGTGTAGCGTGGGTCTCCGAAACCTGGGGAAATTTTGTGGTTCACCTATTTTTATATATCACCTCTCCTGTAAGAACTGCTATATTTGCTAGAAATAACTACTTCATACCAGGACCTAGTGGTGTTTTTTTTCTAGTAAAGTTTTCTTTAGTTTTATAATCAAGCAGTTAATAATATGCTTAAAAAATATCTACCAATAAAAAATATGCTGCCCTAATAAAATTGCGCCCGAGGTGGGACGCCCTCGCCATGCTGCTCAACTGAAAGACACTTAATTTTATTCAGCTTAGCTTATTTGTACATTTTTGTCAGTGTCGCCGGTGGATTGTAGATTTAGCCGTTTAAGACACCGGCAAGTCGCTTTGAAAATTAAACTCATTGCATATGTTGCAAAACTGGTATATTATTTTGCCAAAGCGGTGACTAATTAGAACCCGCAGTTAAACATGACGACTACAACGTTCTATAAAAAGCTGTGAATTTTCATTCAAACGTAATGAAATTCAGCTTATCAAACCGTCATAATACTAAGCAACTCCATTTTTAAATACTGCTAGCCAGAATGTAGGTAGGACCTAATACAACGAAGACGACGAAATCTATAATCCGCCTGCAATATCAGCACTATGTGTGATCGAAAAAATTTGACAACTCCGTGTCACGTAAACACAAAAATGTATTGATCATTCTTAATTGTATTTTTTAACCGACTTCAAAAAAGGAGGAAGTTCTATGTTCGACTGTATGTTTTGTTTTTTTATGTAATGTCCACCGATTTCTCCGTCAATTGTGGACCGCTTTCCAAATTCTTTTTTGCACTTGTGTGCACAGTGCACTTCCGAGTTGGTCCCATTGGAACGAAGTCAGGATCTGATGGTGGAATCCAGGCAAATCGAGGGAAACCTTCAAATTTCAAAGGCACGCACGATGTTTTTTATGCATGTTCACCGATTTCCCCGTCAAATGTGTTATTGTTTACTTGGACGATGTAGGTAATTTTCACTAAAATGGATGAAATAAAAAAAAATAACAAAAAATAAAACCGACTTCAAAATCGAAAATGGAACTAAAAAGTAAAAAATAATTTGGTTTATGATTTGGAAATCGGGCGGGGTCAAGATTGAAACATTAAATAGATTTTCGTTTCTGATTGGTTATAATACGTCTTTCAATCTTGACCCGCCCGACTTTCAAATCATGAACCAGATTATTTTTTTACTTTTTAGTTCCATTTTCGATTTTGAAGTCGGTTTCATTTTTTGTTATTTTTTTTTTTTACTTATTACTGTTTATGAATTATGTCACAACATAATAAGATTAAGTGGAGAGATGTTTTGAAGCAAAAAGCTCAGATGATAATATAATACGGTCAACAATTTCAAGAATCTGTAAATACCCGTACTTAGATGCACATATAGTTTGTTTGCCATTTTCATGTAAATATGAAACTTATTTGTTACATTACTTAACCCAACTAACAAGCACTGAAGAATTGAAAATGTGAAGGGCTAAATAGAGATCTATAGCGAATAGATAGCTTTAGAGCTGCTTTCATTTCGATGCTGAAGTTTTTTCAATATCTTGACTTGGCAATCCATTACTAAGCAATTCATATCTATACAAGTAATAGAAATATTTTAAATACTAAACTTTTTTTACTTAGGTACCTACCTATTTCAAAATAAAATGTTAAAGACTAACAATCTATACCTAAGTAAAAACAAAGTTAGAATACTTATATAACTTTTGCCGTGTACCTAATTGTAATTTACAATAAAAACTATTTTCTTTTATCATGGTTCAAATAAATGAATTAACTACAATTACCGAAATTTAAATAAAAAAATGGATTCTAAATGAATTATAACATTGGCCTAAGTATTTGATAGTTGTTAAATTACCTACAATAATATAGCGTCTAAATCTTTATTCGAATCAAGTTATGAATTATAGAGCTAAAATCATCAGCAATTTTAATGATCAACGCACTATTAGCACTGGTCATATAGGTTCACATACTAAATAGTAACTATCGTAAAAGAAAATTCCCAAACGTTCTTTTTGGTAGCATTTTCTGACCGGGGATAATTTTTTTTATCCACCTGATTTATCCTACGTATAAGTCATTGCTTAGACAACAATTATTACTTATCTAACTTATTTATTGATTATTATTTAACTTCTCATGTACCTTAATAGTTAGATAAATCAAATTAAACTGTACATATTGGTTAATTTAGATAATAAAAAACTGTACGCTTAATTACCATTATAAGTACTTAGTATTGTATTCTATAAGATTTTATTGTTTTGGGCTGTGAAATACAGAACAGAAATCGAGTGTATGAAGTGATTGTGAAAAATCACGAAATCTTTCAGATTTTGATATTGATTCGTGTTTCCAATATTCTTTCCTAAATATAATCGAATTGTAGTAACTACAACCCATAAAATATCCATAAAAGTTATTATACGTCATAAAAATAATAGCATTATAAATTTTATCTACCTACCTACTTAGACAAAACTACTCCAATGCGGTTTCTGTAGGCTAAGGGACATACTTCACACTTAAGCTTCCGAAGTTTAAGTAAAATTAGAAACGTTCTTTCAATTCCACTTTTTATTTTATTTCCAAAATATTATTATATTTAATAGCCACGAAAGTAGGTATGTAATAGTGGGTACACCTTACACGAAAATGCGCAAAATTTTAATTTTGAAAGGAGTTTGTAATTTATTTCTGAAATTTCCGAAGATTCGGTTACCTATAGAAATTCGAAATACGTTCCAGAGCTAATATCGAAATTATTATCCGCGTGCATCCAAAACATTTTTACACACCATTCATTATTTTAAGTTTTTGGGTTCAGTACCTAAAAAACTCAACATTTCTTTATCAAGGTCGTCTCCAGTTTGATATAGCTGTCCATGTGCAAAATTTTGCTGAAATCAGATTGACATAAATAACGCAATGAGTAGGCCTTAACTTAAAAAAAACATTTGAGTATTTGTTCGTCCACCTTACGTGGTAATAATAATGCGAAAAACTAATAAAAGTAAATAATTGAATATTCAACCGATAATTAAGACGAACGAACCCGTGTTTTTAAAGTTATTTGGTATTATTAAATACATATAAAATGACACAGATTCACAATAGGGGTCTCTTTTTTAGATTGTCCGTTAAATAAAGGTATTGTTCATAATAAGTTAAAATGTTTCAAATCTTAAAAAAACAACTAAGTTATTTTGTAAAACACGAAATGTCTAATTTTACAGATTTGTATGAAATTAAAGACTGGTATTTCACACAAATGTCATTTTAGACCCCATAAGAATACATACATGTGTACCAATACCAAGTATATGAATAAAATGTAAGTAGTAAATCTTATATTTACTACTTAGATTTTTAAATGTAATGAAGAATTTCTTGTATTTATAAGCAAATTCTTGTATTTCAAATTGAAACTAGTACTTATTGCACACATTGTAATGCATTATTATTATTACTAAAGAGAACTGAAAAAAATACTAGTGTCATAAAGAGGTATAAGACTTATCCACTATGTGAAATGTGCGAATTTATAATAAAATGTGTAAATAACATTTCCTCTATTATTTTTTGTACTTACTTCCCATTTGCTTACTTAGGAGAAAAATACCATCGTCATTCAACTCGATCATAACATCTAAACCGAATCAGTGTTTCGTACTTGTCATCTGCGATAGGAGAGGTACAAGCTATTCGCAAAAGATTTTGATGTAAAACTTTTCATTTGATCCGAGTGTAAAACATATATTGCGCTCAAATACTTTGTTATTTCTGAACTTAGAAGAAGGATATATGACAATCGATTGATTTAATTACAATAAAAAAGCTGTATTTTTTTGGAAATATAACCTACCTATCTCTTGGAGTATGAAAGTTTTATAGATAAATATTAGCTTTTGAACCTTCCTAAATACGGGAGTTGGTAATAGTTTACCTATAACCTGTTCATTTCTTAGAAAATAAGAAATAAAAAAAGGTTCAATACAAAACTCTCACTATTAGAAAAGGCTCAAAACAATCTTTTTTCACAGACCCCTCTGTAATACATAACGTATTATAGGATCTCTTTATGAGAGGGGACAGGCGACCGATTTTTGACTCCCTAATCGTAAAGTAACAGTGGTTTAACAAAACCGGACAAGTGGGAGTCGGACTCCGTACAAAGTAAGTAAGTATGCACACATAAGGCCCTAATTTTTTTTACGTTAACTTAGAAGTTTGATTAGTTTTACAGCTTTAAGGGACACTAGACCTGAGCACGGACGTAGCCAGGATTGAGTAATTTAATACCTCTACGCGTTCATGAGAAAAGAGGTAGTAACTTTAAAATTTTCAAAAATATTTTTATTATATGTCACTAAAAATTCACGGTTTTCGCAATTTTTCCTTTATCTGTAATAAGACGTTATTTCATACCAAATTTCAGATTCTAAGGTCACGGGAAGTACTCTGTAGGTTTTGATTCCCGTGCGAGATTCGAAAATTTGCAGAAATTTGCGGCATAAACGGCTGTATCTTTTGATTGCTTTGGCTCAGAAGTTTGATTTTTTCACAGCTCCTATGGACAGTTAGACCAGGGTCGATAATTTTTGAGACCAAAAAAAATTATAGTAGGATGAAACCCATTAGAAAAGGTAGAGAATATAACAAAAATGAAAGGAAAAATAAATTACGGGCGATCTGAGGTCGGGAAGGGGGAGGGGGTGAGTTTTTAAGGCTAAAAAATGGTTAATCTCGATTTCTATGAAAAAAAGTTAAATGGCAAAGTTGTAGGTAATAAAAAGATCTACAACTTTTGTATCGACACTTTTTTCACATAACCTTAAAATTTATGTGAAAAATGCGAATAACCGAGTTTTTGGTTTTTGATTTTTATCATAATAAAAACGTAAGATTTCATGTTATATTGATAAACAGTTCTAGTTCTGTACTAGTTCCATTTTTTACCCTTAAAAACTCACCCCCTCCCCCTTCCCGACCTCAGATCGCCCGTAATTTATTTTTCCTTTCATTTTTGTTATATTCTCTACCTTTTCTAATGGTTTTCATCCTACGAAAACGAAAATGTACGAAGGTTAACGAATGCGATAGGATAAATGATGACGGGCACCGGCGGGTGGTAGAGGGCGAATCCAAAATACATTATTAGTGTAATAATTAGTAATTAAATAAATTATGCCGCTCGCCTCTCCTTATTTTGATATTATTGATGTTGATATCTTAACTTTTCGGGGGGGGGGTTTGAACCCCCAAAACCCTCCCCCTGGCTACGCACATGGACCTGAGTATATACTATAGTGTAAATGTTAACTCGATACCTTTACTAGTTACCGAAATAAAGGGTCTTCTTAACCTTAAATAAAGGGCCTTATGTTATGAGATACTAGGGTAACATATAGAATACATATACATACTGATACATATATAAATACAAAAAAAAAACATCTTTGACTGGAGTACAAATGCTCGAATTCTCCACACAAACATCAAGTATTAGAACAAAACTTGCTTCAAATGCGTTAAATTAACAAACATTGATTAGATACCTTTCGAAAAAACGACACTTTACACACGAAACTGTAATGGCAACACGATGACAGAAGCTTTTCATATCACTGTGACGTGCAGTCTCTTCTGCTCTCCCGGCATATAACATTACAAGATGAAGATACGGATTTGTATCTGTATCTTAGATACTTTTATGGTAAAAAATATGTGTACATTAAATATTGCAATAATTAAGTTCAGAAATTGTTTCAAGGAATATATTTGAGTAATTTCCAATACTATAAATGTGTATTATACATCAATCTCTTAATTTTATACATGTTTCATTTATTTCTTCACAATTATGTTATTATCTATATCAAAATGTGCTATGTCTATATACAATTTAATTTAAGCTCTAAATCATTATATCCCAAATATTTACTGTTAAAACTTAAATGTTTTAATTAATATTCTGTATTTATTATTAAACATATTTGTAAGAAAATAAGGATATTTTTAAACTTCTATATAAACACTACACAATCGTTTATAAGCAACAAATACATTTATATTTTTCAGAAAACAAGAATGTATACAATAAACAAAATAGCACAGACGCGATTTAAAAACATCCATTCTGTGACAGGATGTTTGTAACTGAACACGAAAACTCATCATCTTTAAATTACTACATAATAAAATACGTACACAAAATACCCTTTATAAATCAAATCATAAGCTTCATCTTTTGATTTTCATTCATACCAAAAAGTTCTTAAAATTACATACTCATCTCACGACCTCACTGAACGACCAACTTACAGGGTTACCAAGGGAAATCAATACTGTCAATAAAGATGCTAATATTTACAGGTGACACACAATAGGTGATGCAAACAAGGGTGACAAACATTCGTAATACACAAACATGATCACTAGTGATGAGTCCCTCACTCGTGAGGCGTCTCGTTTGAGTTCCTCATCGCGAGAGAATGAGAGAGTCCTCGTATTTCAACTTTGAACCATCTAATTTTCGTCGTGGGCGAGGCGGAAGAACATTATGAACTTTATTTACATAGTATTAGCATTCAAATTATGAAGCGGGGGGGGTTTCGCTTGCCTCCGTGCGGCAACGTCGCGCCGCCAAACCAAAGAGAATACAACGCAACGTTGTCGCTTTGCGCGCTCTGCCTCACCCTTAAGGAGGTGAAGCAGCGCCCTCACGAAGGAAAATGAGGACCTCCCCCAGCCTCAATAAAAAAAATACGAGTAGAACATCGCGAATGATCACTGAATATACAAATTATGATAAAAAAGCTAGTTAATTGCTACACGTCACCTAGTAGTCTGTGGCTGTACTATGCAGTCCAAAAATACGGGTTTGCGATTGCAAATTTAGTGGTCTTAGAACAGATCTCAATTACAGCCGCACATAGAGGAGTCAATTTTAAGTCTCGCTTAAATTGCTGCTGTTAATGTCTTTGCAATAAGAAAAGAATGAGACATCATGTGACTTAATGAAGCATTCGATTCTGAGTACGGAAAAAGACTGCTGCTTTTGAATCGCGTTAAAGCCCCTTGTCTATTTGAAACTATAGCAAACTAATTAATTATTCCCAATTATAATTTATAAAAGTATACGTACCGGAATGTTTGATGAATAACATCAATAATTCAAGTGTTTAAATAATAGTAAAATATTATATTAAGAGATCATTATTTCCCATAGTAACCTAGTATGTACGCATTTTGCATTTAGTATACAATAATATTAACATACAAAAACACTAACATTACAAATTGCTTCTAATTAACATCTTTAGCTGTAAAGAATAATTCAACAAGACAAGACAAGATGTGCTGTGTAATATTTAATTATCTTTAATTTTTTATCCAGTTTCTTTCTACATTTAATTAATTTTAATCATATTTCTTTTTCAAGATGGTTGCCGCAAACCAAATGGAAGCGATTGCAGAACTTTTATGTACACATATGACGTCTCACTTTCAAATATAATAGGTCTTGTTGAAAAACCCAGATTTATATACTCACATACATCCTGTCCACATACAAAATAAAAACTGTATTTTTGGGCTTTGCCAATAAATACAAAATCACCAACAACATTTCCCACACCAACTTTGTGAAGTTCTTAATAATAATATTTTATAGACTTTGTAATCAAACAAATATACTCCGATTGATAAAAGCTGATGATCGACATAGATATAAAAATAATCACTAAATTTTTAACAATCTTATCGTAAAGAGGACTAAAATATAAAAGAATATATTATCTAAAGTGAAGGGATGATACAAATTTAATGTGCCCTACACACTTCATAAGGATTGTTTAGAAACAAAGAAATAACGGTACATCTTGGTGCTGTAGGTGCATTAGACGTGATCTAATTATCACAGTTTTTAGACGATAATCACCTACCACCGTATTCCAAAACGGAGACTAAAGTTAGTCATGGTTTACACCTAATACTGTCTCTGTTTTCTTTTTAGAAAACAAAAGTGACAGCATCAGTTTTAACACAGGTTTAACTTAAGTCAACGTTTTGTGATAAGGCGGCTAATGTTTTCGATTCTAGCATGATTCTCTAAACTTAAAACTAAATTTAACATCAGTCTCTCCTTTTCTTTCTTTATAGAGAACGATAAAGATACACTGTTGTCAAATTAAAGTTTGTGGTTAGAAAATCATGCCAGAATTGACACCAATCTCAATTCAACTAGTCTACCAAAATTCTTCCTATTATTGGAAAAAACAAAGGCAATTTTCGCTTAAAAATTTCTATTGCTCTTACTTAAAAGACAATCATCAGACATTATAACAGTAATGTCCTTACACTACATATCAAAACAAAAGTATTGCGATTGTGCTACATGAGCGGCGGTAAAGTACATTACTTGTGCAACATAATTTAGTCTCCAAGTTCAGATGGTCGCGTGACAACGCGCGTATAACCTAACGCACGTGAAGAGTTTCTAAATCAATATATTGGACCGTTCAGAAAATAGAGGGTAATCGCGCGGTCGAGGCTTCTCCGTCGCAGGTATCTTGATCCGCGCTAATTGTGAAAAATGTATATGGATAGCCGTGTCTTATCGCTTGTCATCTGAACTCCATTGTCGCGCGACCATCTGAACTTAACCTTATAGTACCGCACAAGCTACGTGAATACAATATAACGGCAAACTCTCTCAATGAATTCGAGAAAGAAATCTGTAAGACCACATGCAATAGTGGCGTAAATTCGACAGATATTTCGCTGTGGCGGTGGTCATGCTATTTTTTTTAATAGGATACCATCATATCGTATTTTAATGCGTATGTAGCATTGTGTCGCGCTGCCATGTAGAACATAGACTTAAGCCGTACCAATTTTGCATTATGCGAAAAGAGGTACAGTCGGCTTATTTTAATAAATAAGTATATGCTGAATTAAGAGTGGATAGTAACATATGTTAAAGAATAAGGCAGTTTCAGAAACTATTCAAACGCTAACTTATTTGATAGAATTGGGCTGCCAATTCCACAGTTATATGAGTAAGTAAGTAGTATCATATTATAAATCATAAATGTAGTTTTTAGGGAAATTATTTTCCCACATTGTTTGAAGTAGAAAATGGACTTTTAAGTGCAAAATTTTCTTGCAAATGTCAAAATTACTACAAAAACTACATAAAACTTAAAATTTCTTTTATTTTTCATCTGCAACAATATCTAGAAAACTATGTGTATCAAATAAAGTATTTTGTACCATTCATGATAAGGAATGCAGACTTATCCTATCTAGTTTTATTTTTATACACCTCATAACAAAAATAACTATTAAAAGTAAATAATAATCTGGCCGTACAGCTAAATACAATATGTTGATGAATTTATTAAATGATGACTTTTTTTTCGAAACTTCTTTGAATATGGATTCTAATTAGGTTTTTGGAAGTGTGTAGCACTCATTATCCATTTTCTTTTAGCTAATACAAAAAAAATAACAAGACGGCACTCAGTATTTTAAACACAAAGAATGAAATATTATTGCGCTTACATGAAATTTATATTGATACCGATTGACAATAACTGTAGAATATAACACTAAGTTTAAGAAGAATAAGGTATAAAATCACTTAAATATTTAAAATGATATCTAAATTTAGACCTCCTTAAAATTTACTATCAAATAAATAAGCAAAACAGAAATTTTGATAACTGATATATATAATTACATGTGAAATCACCAACTGCATTATTAAACAACTATCTATTTCAATGCTTTGTCACTGTCACTCTATGGAACATAGACAAAGACAAAGCACATATAAGATAGGCAAGTTATCTATTGATGAATCATTTGTATCTAATGAATTGTCTAATTAGTCACTCATAAATTTTTAACTATATTGGCAAAATGTCATACTTACCTGTTAAAATAGTATAATGTTTATAAACTCTGGCTGCCAAAGATCATCCATAACTATTTGATGGCAACAAGATATAAAACTTTTATTTCAGGTTTTGTTGATTTAACTGGTTAATTTATAGCCACCATTTTTTTTAAATTGGTGATAGTACACGTCACCGCTATTTAGTGAATGCTGCGAACACAGCCCACATAATTTCACAGGCATCAGGCCTCATGGCCTCTGCTTCAAAATCAAGATCAAGAAGTGACCGCACACGCCTTGTGGCAAGTTCGTAATCTTCGTCGGAGAGTGGAGCGAAAGCATTCTCTAGAACATCCGCTGAATGAGCCAACATAAGGAGGGCCAATGAACGTTTATCAGCATGAGCCACATCAGTAATGGAACGTCGTAAGGCCGCTTCTTGAACCTGCAAGCAGTAGCAAAATAGATAAAAACCATTACAACTGTGATATGATCAATTCTGTCTGTGTAATTATATATATTTTTGCCTGCATACTATAAAACTCTATTTCCAGACTGAATAGTTTAATTAAGACCAAACCAATTTCAAATGTAGATGCAACTATTAGTGGTACTTCTGATTTTTTTTTAAAATGGATAGGTAATGATTGATTACATTAAGGGTCATAGGACATTAGGACAGTCATAAATTGCAGTTTTGTATAACAAAGAAAACTGCTAGACGCATGTTTACAGAGACAGAAAAATCACATTGAAGTTGATACAGAATATAAATTGAGATTTGCAATGCTTTTGCAACTAGCTTTACAATATAGGACAAAATTTTATAGAAGAGATATTTTATTTGGAATAGTTGAGGAATAGATGGTTGACTGTACTGTTCTTAGTAGATTACATTTATCTGTCATCATTACTGGGAACATCTTTTTAACTATAACATTCATTGATTAAAATTAACTTAAGTATTTAAATTTAAGTACTTAAATACCTTTTTGACTAAGCGGCATTTTACAACATTATCTGTGAGAGGATGAGTAGTCATATCAAACAATAGAAAGTTTTGTTTTTCTGTTGTCAGGACTCCTTTTTCAACTAAATTCTTTGCCAGCCTTTCTCTTACATTTTTTAGTTGATATTTTAGCTTCATTGGATTCCATGTTTCACCTAAAATGAACACAATTATTCATAATTTTAATGCTTATGGTACTAAATTCTATATCATAACTATTATAATTTTAGCTATGGTTCAAATTAACTGATTTTTAATTTAATACAAATATGTAATAAAACAGTAGAATTTTCTTGTTTAAGTTTTATTTTTTAAAAGTATAGTTTTATAATTCTTTGGAAATATGTTTCATACTAACCGCTTAAATATTCTATCCAACTTTGGACAGTTTCTGGTGGATCTGTATCTTTCATATGTTTTAAGGCCTCATCTAATAGAACATCACCAGTAGGAGTATCTAAAAGAATAAAAAACATTATTGTTTACTTTGACAACATAATAGACAAATTATCAAGAGATGAGAACAGTGTATATTTGAGAAATATAAAATTTGTCATCAATAGAAAGTGCTACAATAAAAACATAATAAACATTAATATTTGTGGTAGATGAAAAACATACTTTTAGTATAGAAATGATTAAACAACAGTATTATCTTCTTATGAAATGCACTTTAGAATGTAGTTTAGAGGAGATGGTAACCTTACCTGACTTAACTATTACTTTTCTAGATAACAATCCTTTCCTTCTCATACCAGCTCTCTCTAATTCCACGCGACCCCGTAAACCCAGCTCAATTAGTATACATCCTCTCAAACCACTCGATATGCAGTCATTCCAAAACGATGTGTAACCCTGAAATTACCTCAATGCTGTTAATACAACTCACGATTATTAATAAAACCTTGAATTACTCGTTTTGGGATTCCATACCTCTTTGTCCTTTAAACCTAATAGTAATACTTCCTCCATCAGCGTCAATCGAGTTTCCTTTGAATCTCCGTCATCATAATTTTTATCATTTTTCTTATCATCGACGTCGTGATTTTCCTTCAAAGCTCCCTCCGAATTACTGTCCTTAATAACGTTTCTTCGTTGCACCAGCCCTTCAGTTCGATTCATTTTAACATTAGATCAAATACAGACAGATTTTAGAAATAGTTTTGTAAATAAATATTTTAATGTAGTCGAAATGAAAGATTAGTTGACGTTCACTACACGACGACGTAATGTTTCTGTTGTGAGGAAAACATGGCCGACACGACAGTCAACGTTTCGTTCCATCCATCCGAGGAATAAAATAAATCATGAAAATAGTTAACCTATATTAAATATATTTAGTTAAATTAAAAACTTGTGAAAATAGATCTAAGTTTGCAACTTGCACTTCATAAAATTTGATATTATTTTTCTGAGTTGCGTTCCGTTGGTAATGTGCATAATATATAGTGGATTATTGACAATCGATTATATGTAACCGATTGTCAATAATCCACTGATTAGGTTTATTTTTTAAATGAGCTATATAAATCTGTTCCAAGCTATATATCGTCGTGTTAATGGGAAAACCAACTATATAAGTGCTGATTCTTGCAGAATTGAGTTAAAATACACATTTTACTCAAAAAACCGGTCAAGTGCGTGTCGTGCCACGTGCAGTGTAGGGTTCCGTAGTTGCCTGTAGCTATCACAATATATTTGAGCAGGAGTCTTTATTTTCTTTATCAGAAATTAGAAAAACCAATTAATATCAAATCTCAACTCAAATACCTATTTCAAAGTCAAACTGCCTCTCAAACTCAAAACAAATTCGATCCATTTTCTTTAATTTTAAAAAACCTATTCTACGATATCCCAGACGATGGGGTAGATGATGAAAAAACCATCCCCAGGTTACATGTAGGGAAGCTAACCTAAAATATGTTTTTTTATATTTTATTCTATCATTTCTTGGCGTGATCGATATACCTTTTTTTTTGTGTCTGGGAAATGCTTTACGTATCCTTCAACCACCGGGGGAGCGAGAAGAAGGTATGTGGGCCTCCTCCCTGCTCATTTCAGCCAGCCCTTAGGGTGGGTTAAATGAGCAGGGCCCTACCTAACGCCCTGAACAGGGCCACTAAAAACCAGACAATACTCCTGCACCGGTCACCCGGCGTACATTCTGAGGACCGCAGTCCCCCCAATGCACGCCGGGAGTGCGGGTGTAGTCGCGGCAACCGTTGCCGACTGTCCGCGCACCCACAAGGTGATTGTCCGCGAACGGACCCAACCCGATGAAGGTGCCCCGGAGTATCAGGGGCACCAGCATCAAGAGAGCTTGTGCAATGCAGGCCGGTCCCCCCCCCCCCACCCCTGGGCAGACCCGCGGCTCTCACAGGAGTGGGAGGGAGAGCGTAGTCCTTTCCGTCCCTCTCCCGCCCCCCTTGGCCCTAAGAAGGGCCTTTTGAGCATCTACCGCCAATCGCAATGATCAGACTCACTGTGGGGTGATGCTCCTACCCTGGTCCTGAAAAGGACCGTTGAACGGTGTTCAGCACTCGACGTGCTGACCATCCTAGGGTCCCTACGTGACCCAGTCCCCCCCTTGCCTCTCTGCGGACTATCCCCTTTGTCAGGGTGGCAGAAGATGAGCCAGTGTACGCCTGCCTCTCCTCCCCCTCGCCCTTCTGCTGCGAGATGACATCCTCGCAGAAGGAGACCACCGCCTGCCATGACCCGTCGCTATCCAGCATGGCTTTTACCACGCCGGGCAGCGAGTGGTCCATCCCTACAGTCTCCGCCAGAGTGCTACGCTGCCGAGTCCACGCCGAGCACACCTCTAGAGTGTGCTGCGCCGTGTCCTCGGCATCGCCGCACTCATGGCATGAGGGGTCCGCCTCCCTCTGGATCCGGTGCAGATACTTTCCGAAGCAATCCGTGCCCGGAAAGTACCTGCACCAATCGAAAGGTAAGCGTCCCCCTCCCCCCGTCCAACCATTCCCTAAATACCGGCCGAATCGCTCCGATTGTTCTCTCCCCCGCCGTCTGGTTGTCGAGTCGCTCCTTCCAGCCTCTCCTGAGCGCTTCTTCTGCCTCCCTGCGTATGCCTGCTACTTCCTCTATTGTGGCACGCTCTCCCCTTTCCCTCGCCTGGATCCTCCCCTGGTACACTTCTGCAAGCACGAGTGCTTCCAGATCCCAGGGGGGCATCCCTGCGAGGATACATGCCGCCTCATATGACACTGTCCGGTACGCCCGTGCCGCTCTTATGGCCACCAGCCTTTGCGGTCTTCTGCGCTCTGCTCTGTTGACCGCGCTGAGGCTATCCGCCCACACCGGCGCACCGTACAGTGCCATGCTTTTAATAACCCCCGCGTACAACTTTCGGCAGCTGGCGCCAGGGCCCCCACATTTGGGAGCAGTCTACCTAGTGCCGCCGTCGCACTTACCAGCTTCGGGGTCAGGAGCTTAAAGTGGTAGTCAAACCGCCACTTCCCATCGAGCTCCAGCCCCAAGTACTTCATGTGCGGCTTTATGATATCCACTGCTCGTCCACCATTACTCTGGCGCCTGCGGGTGGTCTGGCCTGTGGGCCATAATACATGATGGCCTCAGTCTTAGAGACCGCTACCTCTAGCCCTAATGCGCGGATTCGCGCAATGGCTTCGGCTGGCCTCCCCGTAGTCCCGGCCCCGGGCAAGGACAAGAGTGTCATCTGCATAGCAGAGCAGTCTTATCCGGGGCACCAGGGCTACACGGAGAGCCCAATCGTAGCCCATGTTCCACAGGAGCGGTCCCAGGACCGACCCCTGCGGAACCCCACAGGCCATCCCTCTCGACGCTAGAGAGCCGTCCGCCCGCACGTGTTGTACCACCCGCTCCTCTAGGTAATTTTCAATTACCCTTACTAGGTAGGCGGGGAGCTGGTGGTACCTAAGTGCCACTTTTATAACTTCAAAGAGGAGAGTGTTAAACCCATTTTTGATGTCCAATGACACCGCGACAACCCTCTCCCCTCTGCCAACCGCTGCTTGCGTCTCCCTTTTAACTTCCATTACGGCGTCGATGGTGAAGCGCCCTCTCCTGAAACCGTATTGGTTCTCCGACAGATTAGGGCCCACGGTGTTTAGATGCTGGACGATGCGGTCCGAGAGAATCCTCTCGAATAGTGATCGATATACTTACATATCTCCGATTAAAAACAATTACAGCTCTCTAGTGCTAATAATCTCCAAGCATGACCGGTGACGGACAGACGGATAGACGAAACTATAAGGGTTCCTTGTCAGGACTACGGAACCCTAAAAAACGAGACCTATCTAGTGGTAAAACCTTCTTAGTTCTATAATGCATAGGTAAAAGACAGTGAAATTGAATAATAACTAAATTAGATTTTTCCATAAAAATTGAGATTTAAAAAGAAATTAATATCAACACATTATTTTCATTTTTTAAGCCATATCTTTGAGCGAAACGTATTAAGCTTATTTAATTAATTTTCGCAGTGGTTATTTCTTCATGATTCACTCAGTTAATCTACACATGAAATATATTATCAGGGCTTAATTACTTTTTACTTTGGTAAAATGAGCACAACTAATTATAGAACAAATCCATTTTTAATATCGCTAAATGAAATAATAGAAAAGCAATACGTATTAACTCGTGTTAGTCGTTTTTACAAGTAAAGTTAACCAATTCATGTTCAAAATTCGTTGATATTTTGTAGAGCGATTGTGGAACTCCAAGCCATATGTTTGGAATTGAAATCACCCAAAACGTTATTATTCAGCAATAATTTCAATTAAACATCTAAATTTGTCTTTATTCAGGTGGGTGGACCATGGAAGGCCACTCTAACGAATAAACAGTTTTTATTAGTTCATTTACTGGATAAACGAAAGAAACAAATTCATTAATTAACATTTTGTTTAATTGTATAACATATAAATTACCTTACTAGAAACAAGTCTTTATAGAAGGCCAATATTATAAATCAGTTGGTCAACTTAAAACTAGAGTTGTAATTAAATAAATAAATATTTCCAACACTCACACCAATTAGCCTAGCCCCAAAGTAAGCACTATGCTAGGGTCACGGATAGAATACTTAACAGTGCATATAAAATTATATTTAGAAATACATATTAAACTTCCATGACTGGAGTACAAATGCTCGTATTCATCACACAAACATCTGCCCCCAACGGGAACCCGAGACCTCTCGAGTTGGAGACACCATGAAACCCGGCGTACAAACCACTCTGCCACGGAGGTCGTCAATTATCGAAATATCCGCTTTTACTAAAACTGCATAAAAAGCTTTTTCATTTAAACGAAACGTTAAATACTTAACAGATAATCTTCTATAAAAAACTCAAAGAACATTTCTTGAACACTGTCGAATAACTAAGAATATTAGGTATGTTTCTAAGAATGTTAAGTTGAATCACCCTAATAAATAATAATATTATAAACATAAAAGATTTCCGGTATGTATTTATAACCATTAAACTAAGTGTTCATATTTCCATGATTTGTAAATGTTCTACGTAAGTTCCATATACCCTAGCAAGACCAACCGTCAAATTTATGATTGGCCTTATAAGGAACTCCCGACTTTCTTTAGACACTACCGATATTTTAACTGTAATGGAAGCAAAATTACTAATATTTTCTTTAAACTAGTACCATACCTTTATTAACTATAGGCGCGAATGACAATTTTACCGTCGACTGAAATGAAATGAAAATGAAATGAAAAGTCATTTATTCAGTCTAGGCTGTTACAAGCACTTGTGAAGGTCAAGAAGCCACGCCAACAGTTCGCAAAACTACGGCGGGAAACCTTGTACTGAGAAGAACCGACAAGAAACTCAGCAAGGGCTGTTTTTTTCTCCCTGTATTGTTATATACAGAGTCGTCAAGTTGAAAAATGACTTCAGAGATACGTCTGAAGTCACCTTCCATTACATCGTTTAGAATATAAATATATAGTTTCAATAAATTTTATGGTTAACAATATATTTAGCATATAGGAAGCGGCGTTAGATAGGTACAATATTACTGTTATGAAAAATGACTAATACCTATTAAACAACAAATTATAAAAAACACTATGACCATGCATTACGATCATTCAAATAATCATCAACTTTATAATAGCCCTTATTCATAAGAGTACTTTTGATCTGAGATTTAAATTTAGTCAGTGAAAGCTCAATCAGATTTAGGGGAACTTTATTAAACAATGCAATACTACAACCCAGAAATGAACCTCTTGATTTTTGGAGTCTGAAACATGGAACGGCAAGCTTGTTCTTAAATCTC